CTTCCTCTTCTATACATTATTTTTTGTTCTTCCTCTTTGTGATAAATTTTTATGCTTTTGTCTACAATATTATTTTCAATATTGCTAACTACACAAGGATTGAACATAAAAGGTTTTTTAAATAAAATGGATAGAAAAAAAGAGCATGATGACATGATAAAAATAGAGAAAACAAGGCATGGTGATACACATGATCGAATAGGAAGGTAAACCATTTCTTTGAAATTGAGTTTGTACTCATTAGATGAGTAATCTTATGATGAAAAACTACATTTTAACACTGAATGCAATACATATATACAAATTCAATTTGGTTAGCTTCTGAACAGTGCATGGGAAAATTAAGTTTTAATTTCTAATAATTTATAAGAGAATACAGTAATAAAAAAATTTATTAGCACTACAAAAAACCATTTATGACTTATTGACTTTAGAGATCTAAATCTTGATATGCAAACTTAGTTTTGAAATAATAACATACGAAGTATTTAAGAAGCTAAAAAACAAAAAATGCATGTCAAGCTACAGACTAAAGTAATGGTTAAAGTCAAATAAAAAACATATCGATGAACTTTTAGAGGATTTTTAAGTAAACTTATCCAAAAACCTGAAATCCTGATTTAAGAACATATGTGCGAGCAGATACACTTCAGACCCATGAAGAATATAAACTGTAAAAATCCAGATCTAAACAAACCTAGAAAAAAATAAAGAAAAGAGGGTTTATAAAAATGAAAATACCATATTTGAGAAGAAATTTAGTAGAAGACTGTAAAAAAGACAGCTGCTAGACACCAACCATGGCTTTTCTATTGTGTGAGGTGGCAGAAGGTGACTGACAAACAGAATCGCCGGTTTACCAGCGCCTCTCAACAATATACAGGCCGAAGGAGAGAAAAAGTTCGAGAGGTGAACGTCTTATGTTGCTTCTAGGAAGAAACTAATTGCAGAGATAAATATTTAACTCAATCAACAAACCTGAGAAAGCTAGTTCTGCATTAGAACAATATAAGACACAACACTTGCAGCTCTAACCCCACGAGCAATAGCAACTCCAACTTGTGAGGATGCTAAGGAAACACACACCCAATTAGCAAATATAACGTGTTGAGCCTTTTGAATGCCACACACAAACTTGATCTTTTCATTAGGCTTCACTCCATAGAATACCTGCAAAACACCACCATTTCACATTTGACTACTTGGGAAAACAATACTTCCTTTACAGGGTCTCTCTTTTGGCTAGTCTATTTTAACCTACTATCTTTCCCATCTTCCCTCTCCGTACTCTTCACATTACCCTCAAAAAAATCCAATTGCAAACCATAAAATAAGAATAAATGTACAAAAAGTATATACACATGAACAGACCATTTGTATTTTATAAATTACGTTTCTTGATTTTGAATCTTTGAAATCGTCCTCAGCCTCTATACCACCAAAACACCACCATTCCACATTTGGCTACTTGGGAAAACAATACTTCCTCTAGAGGGTCTTTATTCTTCTGGCTAGGCAACTCATAAACGTTTTTCTTCCATTTCTTTACTGTAACCTACTATCTTTCCCCTCTTCCCTCTCCCTAGTTTGCACATTACCCTTAAAAAATCCAATTGCAATGGTCCTGTGTAACCAAATATGGATATCACAGTCCTTAAGTAAATATATGGGCACAAACAGCATCTCCCAAAGAATCCAAAACCTTGTGTAGCTACCAACCATCAAAGTCAATCCTAGATTCAAAATCAAAAACCTATTCTAGCTCTAGGCAGTACCAAGTCAGCCTATACCATCACCAAAAGTTCATTCACTAAAGCTAAACAGCCAACCCAAACTCATGAACAAAAAACACAAGGATTGAAATACAAAGCCAGCACCCATAACTACATAGCTACCTAGCCATTGAAGAAAAAAAATCCCCAAACCCAATTCTTGGCCTAAGGGGTAACGGCCATAACTAAAGGCCTACATCAAGCGCAATGATGAAAGGCTGCCTCAAGGCCTGACCAAAACTCAGTCAACAATTAAAAAACAGTCATGCACTCACCTGCAATTCAGCATCTGCCTCCCAAAAAAATCACAATGCACCCTACTAAAGCCAACTTAAGCCTGTTATTGTAAGATTCATATGCACCCAATAGTATAAAATCCAAACTCCAGAAGCTAAACACATGTTTGTTAATATAACATACGCAATCCTTGTGTGGGATATGGCCCCAAAATTATAGTAAAGAGTTCATAGACATTTTTATAGCTACAGGGACATTTTGTAATGTATTGAGTATAAAAGAGCATTAAGTAGATTAAAACTACTCTAGCAGCATAAGATATGTTTTTAATTCTAAACAATTGGGCACTCAAAGAGCATTATATCGTACATAATGAATATTTTCACAGTTGCACTTTTAAGATAAAAATGAAGTCATGCAAAGAAAATATTTAGTACTTTAAACTTTAAAATAAAATCAAACATAATTTAGGTTGCAATTAAAGAGGTGGTAGGGGAAAAATTCTACAACGTTTATTATTATTATTTTATTATTATTATTATTATTTTAAGAACAAAAGTGATAGATTTGACAGTGAAAATTTTGAGATTATCACACATGATGTTTTTTGTGTAGCCACTTATAGGGTCAACGCATTGAACTTTACTTCTACGGGGCAAATGGATAAGGGTAATCCCAAAAATAATGGCAATTACCAAAACTGAATATCTATGAATTAGGATGTGATGATTTAAAAAAAAAAAAGTAAGCAACCACAATATCATAGCCAAAGGTCTACCAGAGGTTCATCAAGCAACTGTGGAAGTATGGTGGATAAATCATTTTCACATGTCAGATTTCATTTTTTTGAAAATGAAATCGGTATGTAAGCCAGTTCCTACGACAGGAAGAAATGAAGAAATCATGACTCTCAAGTCAAAGAAACTGTAGTTTAAAAGCCGCATCTAAGTATCTTATTCAAAAGCTATCACGCCCCCCTCACCTCAAAGATATTTTGTGGGTGACAAACTTAGTTAAAACTCGACAAATCATTTTGACATGTTTGCTGGAATCGTCCTCAGCCTCTATACCACCAAAACACCACCATTCCACATTTGGCTAATTGGGAAAACAATACTTCCTCTAGAGGGTCTTTATTCTTCTGGCTAGGCAAATCATAAACGTTTTTCTTCCATTTCTTTACTGTAACCTACTATATTTCCCCTCTTCCCTCTCCCTAGTTTGCACATTACCCTTAAAAAATCCAATTGCAAACCATAATATCAGAACAAATGTATAAAAAAAATTATATTGATGAACAGACCGTTTGTATTTTATTAATGATGACGTTTCTTGATTTTGAATCTTTGAAATCATCCTCAACCTCTATACCACCTCTTTCTTCACTCTCATCTGCACCATAGACACAAAACCATAAAATATTCAACGTAAACAAATCATTCACATCGTACGTTCCAAATAAACAGAAAAAAAACAAAAAAAAACAAACAAACAAACCTTTTTGGGTCTTAGGTTTAGAATGGAAATAGGGTAAGAGTAATGAATGTAAATTAATTTTTCATATTATAATGATATGGAGTATATTTGATCAAAGATGAACTTTCCTGGCCTTATAAAATACTTTGTACTAACACAATGCAATTATCCTTCCAAGAAGGGATCTGAAATGGATGAACCACAAGCTAATACAATTGATCACTTGTAATTCGTTAGGCTTGATTTTGAATTAAATAAATGTGAGTATTAGAATTTTCACTATCTCCTTGCAATATTTCAACTCAACCAAATAATTGAAACACATAAATAAATTCATCGAAAAAATTTTGAAATAATACCAATGAGAGATTTGTTGTTCTTGACGGCTCTTGTTGTAAGTTGTGGAATAACAGCTTATCATCTGCAATTGATAAGGGATGGAGTATATATCAAGTCAAACAAACAATCAAATCCTAGACCTAAAATCAAGTGCTAGTGAATAGTAGAAAATTGAGATGAATTACAGATAAAAAAAATAACATATCTTAAAAAAAGCAAAATAGGGAGAGATTCGACCTTGGTATCGATGAATAAACAAAGAAGAGAAGGAACCCCATTTTCAACTTTTAGACCATCTCCAACCCTTATCTCCAAATTCAAACCTAAAATACACTATAAACCAAAATGCAATAATTCATCTCTAGCGCATATCCAAATTCAAACTCAAATCACAATATAATTTTTTTTCAATTATTTTTATAGATTGAAAATTTTGAGAAATGCATTAAGCTAAAAATACGATACAACAACAATATTACTTGTGTCTCTAAAATTACATTAAAATTAAAATAGAATAGTAAAGTTAAATTTCCATTTAAACAATTCCATTAGAAATTAAAGCTAAAATAAAAAGGAAAAAAGGATTTTTGAAATGTTTTCGTTATTTTATCCTTTAAAAGAAAAAAATTTGAGTGAATAAAATAAATAAATAAAATACCATGTATAAAGGAGAGCATAAAGCTTCAATATCTGTTGTTTCGAAGGTAAAGCTTCTCTGCTTCTGTATATGATTAGCAGAACATTGACTATATTGAAACAAAATGCAGTTTATGAAAGAAGCAAATATACATTTGAGAGGAGGGGAGAGAGAGAGAGAGAGAGAGTAAAACAGCATGTTGGGTTTGGGGTACTATTGGAGGATGCAGTGCTGCAAATCTTGAAAAATGGAGATCTATTGGAGATTCTCTCAACGAAGAAAGTCCAACTCAGGACAATAATCTTACCTTCGTCAAATAGACGGTGGCTGAAAGTTTGAGGCAAGGAGTTGCTCTCGTTTCTTTGAGCTAGAGAAATTCCAGTACTTGTATCGATCTGAAAGAAAGCCTTGACGTAATCGACAACTGTTATAAAGGAATTTTCTCACGAATTGGCAGAATTGAGTTCTGTCTGCTCAAGAGTTATGAAAAACAAAGCTTACTAAGTTCTGAAAGAGGAATCATCTTAGCTTTCAACCATTCAAACAAAAGAAATAATCCACTTCAACTTTGGAAAGATTCGAATAAAATCGCTGCTATTGTGAAGAAATTAAGCCTGTAGATTCCAAATCCCAACTGTGTTTTTGTTTAACTATTTTATGATACTGTAATAATTATACAAAGGCAATTCGTTCGTGAATTTGAAACTCGTGGGACTAAACCTGCAATTTAGCTATTTATGTTTATCAGTTACCATTCATCCCATTGGCACCTGCTTGTAGAGTAGGTTGTTCGTTGAAATTTTTAGGGTAAAATTAATAAGTTCCAACATGCTGTGGGAAATGGGAGTAAAATGTGTATTTCCATTGTGTTCATTAATTTCCCTTTTGGTGCATAAGAACAAATCATATTCTTCTTCTTATTGGGTTTGCGATCCTTTTATTATCTATTCATATAGGTTCTAAAGCTAGGGCTTGATGCAGCTGGCAAAACTACTATACTCTATAAACTTCACATAAGAGAAGTTTTATCAACAGTTCCTAGCATTGGTAAGTCAGTTCTATTCCCTAGATTTTTGTGTGTGGTTTAGGACTGGTTCAAGAAACTACTCTTTGGTAGTTTAGAACTCTTATAGGGAGGATATATTGCTTCTTCTTTTTACATAAGAAAAACTACATTTCTAACATTTATGTTGACCTTTATTTTCAATTTCAACAACTACATTGTTGTTCAATTAATTCTAGCTGCCATTTTTTTGTTCTTGGTGCTCTTTCTTTTCTTGTATTCTTATTTTTTATCCTAGACCTTATATACATATTACCTAGATGTACTTCCATTACAAAAGAGTTGTTGAATTTCATAATTTTTGACAACTTTGGTTGACGGGAGGGGGAGAAAATGGAAAAGCAAGGTGTTTTCCCTTGTGAATAGCAATTACCGTTTTAAATTTTAAAGGAAGGGTGGGATGTTGAAGGTTGGTAAAACAAACACTTATATTAGCCAAAAGCACAACAATACAGATGGGCTGGTAGAACAAACACTGATATTAGCCAAAAGCACAACAACAACAATAACCATAGGCCTAATCAAATCCCGCCTAAAAGTTTGAGAAGGGTACGTGTACGCAGATCTTATATCTATTTGGAAGTAAAGAAGCTATTAGTTGAAAAAGAAATTTCTATGGATGAAATATTGGTAGGGATGAAAAGAAAAAGAGGCAAATAATGATGAGAGGACACCATGAAAATTTCAAATGTTGTTTATTCTACTAAAAATAGACGGGATATTTACATCTTGAAGTGGTGTTTCTTGACAATTCGCATAGAGTACCAATCAAAAGACCCATTTTCCAACACACACACAACACACTCACACACAGTTAAACATCTCATCTCATTATTCATTATTATAAAATGTAAGGAGCATCAGGTCTTCTTTTTTGAAAATGAATGGAAAATATTTCTAAAATCTTTTTCTACTTAGTAAATTACTCATCAAAATTGTAATTTGAAACCACTCCTCATTTTCAACAAAATGCTTATAACGAAAAGTGTCATCATTAAGTGTTATGTATGCTAAAATGAATATTATAAGTGAAAGATGCTCTAGTATAACCTGAGTTGTCAGAAACTCAAATCCTCTGCTTCTTCCAAATTGCTTGTCAAATATAACCTGAATTGTTTAAAACATCAAATTAACCATTCTTGAATGTAATCCATAAGTGAACTCCAACAAATATTTGAATGTAATAAATTATCAAAGGTCAGAGAAGAGAAATGGAAAAAAGACTGAAAAAACCATATAAATGTAAGAGCAGCTAAAAATCCTAGGAACCCTAGGATCGACAGTCGTCGAAAGTCTGAGGCAAGGAGTTGCTCTCGTTTCTTTGAGCTAGAGATATTCCAGTAGTTGTATGACGTAATCGGCCAGTGATTCAAAGGAATTTTATCACGAATTGGCAGGATCGATTTATGTTTGCTTAAGAGTTATGAAATACAAAGCTCACCAAGTTCTGAAAGAAGAATCATCACAGCTTTGAACAATTTAAACAAAGGAAATCCAGTTCAACTTTGGAAATCTCAATGAAACATCAGAGCTACTATTATCGTTGAGTAGTCAATACAATTCCAGTTCTGATAATAATGTGCAAATATTTGGGAATGAAGAGTATTTTATAAAGAAACATCCACTATTGAATGGTTCTGGTGTAAAAGAAGGATTAATTAAAGTGGACACCTTCTCCCGATGGGTTTCTAAAGAACTTGGAGATGTCGAGGAGCTGCAATGTGTTCCAGCAATCAGTTTTCATGGGCATCTATAGAGACTGAGCATAGTAATTCCTGTATACTGGGCTCCGATTTACTGAACCCCTATCTCAAGAACAACTTTTCAGCATCATAGATTTTTCGCCAGCTTGGGCTTATTCGAACATAGAAACCAAGGTGCATTTTGAATTTCTCCACAAAAAATCACTGCTAATGTGAAGAAATTGTGCCTGGAGATTCCAAATGGAGAGTCGTGTTTTCTCTAGCGCTTTTATACAGTGGAGAATCGATCGAATAACAATGGATCTGATATTTTTGATCCCCAATTAATATTCACTGAGTTTTCCCCTTCAAATCGAAAGAGTGTCCAATTAGCTGCAGTCATAACGTGATGTTCCAGAGAATCAAGCACCCAAAGAGCCAAAGTGGTGGAAACAGAAATGGTACGAAAATAACCTTTCTTCATCTCTGATATATGAAACGAACCAGAGTGGTGGAAATCATACCTTTTACTTTCAATATGGATGGAGAGCTTGCCATTAGATAAGGAGAATGGACCTGAATATGGAAGGAGTTTCCCAGCTTTCTCTGGATTGTAACCTCTAGATTGAGGTTTTTTAATCCTCCGAAGAAAGTAGGCTTCATCGGGGATGCCCAATCTGTTTTGACCTCTGGATGAACTCGGTTGGAAGGTAACCCCTCGCTGATTTTTGTAAACCCCTTTCTGAAAATGCCGCTGCGATTGAAGTAACCTTGCACTATCTGATAATTGGCGGCCATAATCGATGGCAGAAAACCTTTCCCAAGGTTTAGATCGGAAACCTTTCCCTGTAAATCGAAATTCACGGCGGCGGCGATGTGCGTGGGTGCCTGATTAGATATACTAGCTTCGAGACGCACGATGTGCGTGGGTGCCTGATTAGATATACTCCCTGACTCCTGTCTCTGTAAATTCTAAATTCTTTACATATTCACTATTCAAAATTATGAGAATTTTTGTTTATTTGTATGATATCATTGACTATTTCATAAAATAAAAATATTCTTCATCTCTCTTTTTGTAGAATTTTTAATATACTTTTTAAGTACATAAGTTTTACTACCTCTGTCCCAAAAAGATTTACACATTTTGACTAAAGTTGAAATTAAGGGAGAATTAATTTTGTGTTGACTTTCCAAAAATATCTTGATATGATGGGTAAAAGTAAGATGTGATGTGTATATTATTAGGAAAAAGGTATGATGTGATAGGTATGCTTTGAAAAAGTAAGAGGTAAAAGTGGTTTTTAATAGAAATGGGTAGGAAATTGTGGGATGCAATTTTTTTTGAAATGTGTAAATCTTTTTGGGACAGAGGGAGTATTTTTTTATTTATATACAAATCTTTAAATAAAAGAGTTGAAAAAACTTAAAATTTTAATTCGTTTTGCGAGAGGGAGGGAGTAATGTAGTCCATGAATATGAGTAAAAAAGTTTAAAAATACCAAAATAGGTGGCATTGTGGTGTTAGAATACACATTTGCAGTGTGATAGAAAAATGATGATAGTGTAATATGTCAATGTCATCCGTCAATCGCCGGCGATCACCAAGGGCGCTCCGGTGGCCGTCAGCGACGGATGGCAGTGTGGCATTGATAATGTGATAGTTACAATGTAACAATGTGGTGAGTGTAATAGTATACCAATGACAGTGTGAATTCGTATTTTGGTCTTGAAAGATTTGTAAATCCTAAAATAAAATAGAAATAACAAAAAGACATAAAATAGATTTGAGTATAATAATTTAACTATAAAATTGGAGAGAGCTTGATAAATAAGGAGGACAAGCCCTAAAAGTGTGGGTAAGTGGAGAAGAATGAAACTAGTACGGAGAATAGCATAGTGAAGAAATAGAGTAGAATAAAGAGACAGTGTTAACACTAAACAACCAAAAAAGCACCGTTAACGCGAACTAACGGAAAAAAGCCCAAAGTTAACATCATAGGCTCTTATTATACTAGGGTATATATATACATATATATATATATATATGTATGTATATATACTAATACTTTAACCCGTGCCACGTATGGGGTTGAACGAAATTTTAGTGGATCCTAAAAGAATTTTTTAGTTTATTATTTTTTTCCAGGTTTAAGAAAAAATATTTCTAACAATTCTTTATATACTACAGGCATCAACATCAAATTAAAGTAGAATAAATAATATGTACTCCGTAGTATTTTACATTTTGTGATGTAAATTCTTATACATGAAATTTAAAGAGATTACTACAAAGTCTCATAATTCCAAGTGTTTTTTTATTGTACTCTATTGCAATATCTAATTAGCATTAAATGTTTGCTAATAACAATAAAATTATTGACCTTGAATATATGGTGAGACCTCTCAAGTCAAATCACATACTTAGACATTAAAAATGATCTTAAAATTGATTTATAATTTGTTAATATCAAGCTATACAGTGTGTGGGTTATCACAATTGTGGCAAGGGATTATTTTATAAAGTAATGAAAACTAATATAAGTATGTTTGACGTTGTGAGACTTGGTAAATCATAAAATTAAAAATTCTATTAAATCTTTAGTATTGAGATGTGAAAAGATGATGGACTCATCAATTCCTTTTAATTTGTTATATACTATCCACAAAGTCATAAACTCTTAATATTACTGATTTTTTTAGGGTTTGGTCATGCACAAAATTATCTAGAACAATGAACGCGTCGACACATTATTGTTGAAATACTACATATCTTAGGGAAGAGTATGCATGCTTTACACCACATAAATTATTACTTTCATTGGTAACTTAAACTAACTTTTTTAACATGTCAATTCAAAGATAATCAATCACTTTGTCTTTTCCAAATCAAAAAAATAGATTTTCGAAATATTTAAAGTTGGATGCTATTTAATGCATTACTTGAGTTGTGCCTAATTTCAATGGTATTTATTGGGTCGAGTGGGCTGCCTTTATTGGGCTGGCTGTTTAATTAGGCATATTTAGGGTAGCTTATAGGTCAGAAACTTTATAAACAAAATCTACACCAAATATTTTATGGAGCCGCTAGAAGTCCAATCAGCATTTATTACACCTACAGTCGTCCATATAAACAGTGTAATGGGCAGCGATAAATGTGTTGTACCTATTACAGAATACACACTATAAATAAATTGTAATCTTTTGAATTAAATTTTCAAATTCAAAAGGAGAACAATTGAAATTTAGTAAGTTACCTTCCTCGAGCTTCAAGGTTGGAAAATTCTTCCTCTTCTATACATTATTTTTTGTTCTTCCTCTTTGTGATAAATTTTTATGCTTTTGTCTACAATATTATTTTCAATATTGCTAACTACACAAGGATTGAACATAAAAGGTTTTTTAAATAAAATGGATAGAAAAAAAGAGCATGATGACATGATAAAAATAGAGAAAACAAGGCATGGTGATACACATGATCGAATAGGAAGGTAAACCATTTCTTTGAAATTGAGTTTGTACTCATTAGATGAGTAATCTTATGATGAAAAACTACATTTTAACACTGAATGCAATACATATATACAAATTCAATTTGGTTAGCTTCTGAACAGTGCATGGGAAAATTAAGTTTTAATTTCTAATAATTTATAAGAGAATACAGTAATAAAAAAATTTATTAGCACTACAAAAAACCATTTATGACTTATTGACTTTAGAGATCTAAATCTTGATATGCAAACTTAGTTTTGAAATAATAACATACGAAGTATTTAAGAAGCTAAAAAACAAAAAATGCATGTCAAGCTACAGACTAAAGTAATGGTTAAAGTCAAATAAAAAACATATCGATGAACTTTTAGAGGATTTTTAAGTAAACTTATCCAAAAACCTGAAATCCTGATTTAAGAACATATGTGCGAGCAGATACACTTCAGACCCATGAAGAATATAAACTGTAAAAATCCAGATCTAAACAAACCTAGAAAAAAATAAAGAAAAGAGGGTTTATAAAAATGAAAATACCATATTTGAGAAGAAATTTAGTAGAAGACTGTAAAAAAGACAGCTGCTAGACACCAACCATGGCTTTTCTATTGTGTGAGGTGGCAGAAGGTGACGGACAAACAGAATCGCCGGTTTACCAGCGCCTCTCAACGATATACAGGCCGAAGGAGAGAAAAAGTTCGAGAGGTGAACGTCAACGAGTAGGCCCAGCGTATTGAATACTCCGTATTGTTAAAGGATGGGTGGCTTCACTGGCGTGGTTAGAATGTTAGATAGGAGCTAGGTTTAGATAGGAGGAAGGGTTTCGGCAGTTTGGGCTATACTCCGTATTTTGGTGTAGTTTGGGTCAAGTTTTAGTTGGGTTATGTTTAATTTGGGTAAGATGTGCGGAGTACTCCGTACTACAATCTAAGTTATTATTTTCAACTCTGAAATACCGAGTATCTTTTTTTTATAGACTTTTTGAAGATTTAAATGAGAAATATTTTTGTATTGACTTTCAAAAATACTCCTGATGTAATGCAAAAAAATAAGATTTGATGTTTAGATTATTAATAAAAAAAGTATGATGTGATATGTAGGATATTAAAAGAAATAAAGGATAAAAGTAATTTTTAATAGATATAAGAATATCTTTTGGGGATAACAAAAACATTATAAAGAAAGATCTTTTAGGGACGGGGAGAGTACAATCTAAGAGGTTAAGTTTGCTTTTTACCAAAACGCAGATGGGTTGAAAATTAAAATTGGTTCTAAATTAAAAATTGGATAATCAAACCATAGATCAAGCATTATATTTTACATTTTTTCGGCTGAAAACTTTAGATATACATATTTTTAAAGTAATATTGTAATTAATGAAGGTGATAGTCAAATTTAATCTAATATGGCGTTATCAATGACGACGTAATCAATTAACTCTTCATGTCGTATGGTTTAATAGTTTTTTTCTTTATTAGTATAAAAATATTAATTAGACAAAATAACACAAGACAAAGTTGTTATTTCAAGACTTTCTTTTAACTCATCTAGATACAAGATATTCATTTACATTTTGGAGAAGACAATATCAATTATGACTTCTTACGCTATTAATCAATTATTGTCTCACGTTTGTCAACTTTGAAAGAAAATGATATTCAATCACGTTAAAAAATATGTTTCAGTTTCATGTATGATAAATGGAGAACTGTTGAGGATAGATATATAAAATGAAGAAAAAACATCTTCAAGTCATACTACTAATTGCGCTCACTTTAATCCTAAAAGTTAACTTAGAAAAAATGGTCTTGAATTTTAAAATTATTCCTTGATCATTAATTAATCACTATTTTTAAATGAGATGATAAAATGAGAGGATATATTATGATGAATGAAAGAGTTATGTGACTTTATTTTAAATATGTTATCTGACTTTATTTTGAATGTGTTATGTGACTTTATTTTGGATGAGAATCTGGTGATTCTTGCATCAATTTTAGATGTTGTGGATGAAATCAATGAACATATGACATCATTGAACAGCGTTGGAGAAGCGAAAAGCTACTTTAGTTTTGATGCAATGTGTAAGCCTGATTGAAATATAGTTTTTTTATAGACTTACATTCTCTAGAATTTTTGAACAACATACGAGCTTCTGGTGTCCCAAATCATGAACTAAAGTTGAAGGCTAGAACACCCATTGTGTTGTTGAGAATTATTATCAATGACCGGGTCTGTGCAATGGTACAAGATTGATAGTAACTCGACTTGGCAATCATCTTATTCAAGGCACAGTGACGGCAAGAAAAAATGGCGGGCAAGAAGTTGTCATCCCACAGTTATCGCTTACACCGTCAGATGCAAGAATTCCTTTTAGTTTCAAAGAAAACAATTCTCAATCATGACTTCATACGCAATTACAATTAACAAAAGTAAAGAGCAATTTTTGTCACATGTTGGATTGCTACTAAAAAATTGATATTCAGTAATGATTAACTTTATGTTGCAATTTCATGTGTTACAAGCTGTGAAGAGTTAAAGATATTGATTTGCAATAAAAACCTTCCGTCACCCAACCAAACTACGAATGTAGTTTATAAACAAGTGTTCCAAAACTTATAACAGTTTACGTTGACTACGATCCTTACTGTACACTACATTATTTTGCACAATTTTAATAAACTTTATAATCTTTTAAGTTTTGTATCATTTTCTGTTATTCCAAACCAAGACTAAATATTAAGTAATTTTACAGTCCGTGCAGCGCACGGGTACGCATGCAGATTCCTTTTAGGTTTCAAAGGAAACAATTCCCAACCATGACTTCATATGCGATGACAATTAACAAAAGTCAAGGGCAATCTTTGTCACATGTCGGATTGTTATTGAAGAAATCCATATTCAGTCATGGTCAATTTTATGTGGCAGTTTCACGTGTCACAAGTCGCCAAGGGTTGAAGATCATGATTTGCAATAAAGACCTTCCTACATGTAACGTAACCAAACTACGAATGTAGTTTATAAAGAAGTGTTCCAAAACTTATAACACTCTCAAACCTCCCCACTTTTCATATCTACTTGTTTATGTAATCCTTTAGATTTTGGTAAGATTTTTTCTGATTCAAAACATGGAGTACTTATGTGTCAGTTAATAGCCCGTGCATCGCACGGGTACAAGTCTAGTCTAGTAATATTTGAGAGTTGATAGCCTAGAACTTTGACACGTGGCAAATTAAGACTACTAATTTGATGACACATCAGATGACACGCGTCCAATTAAAGGCGAAGCTCTCCTTCTCCTTCCAGTTCTTCGCGTAGAAGGAAGAAAATTTCCTGCAAATCTTCACGCGGAAACAAATACGATTCGACCCTGATTCTTCGGCTACCCCAATTTTTCCCTAATTTTTACCCGAAATTAGGGTTGATTAATACCAATATGCTTTCTTCAATTGATTGAAAAAATTAAAATCGTGATTCATACCTAATTTATATTTGTATACCCTAATTATATTTGAGAAATCATATACCTAATTTATATAGATGTTTTCTTTTCAAATGATATTCGATTAATAGATGGGGACGAAGTAAATCAGTAAATGATTTACTTATCGATGGGAACGAATTTTAATAGTGCTCTTCATACATTTATTAGCTTGAGTTTTATTGGAGAGGAAAAAGAAGAAAGAAGAGAAGGTATACCCACGGAAATTTTGAGATTATATCATACTCCATTTTATGTTTCATTTTGATTATTCATATTGATGGGGAGAATACGAATTTGATTATCTATTTTGCTGCAAGAGACAAGTAAATCAGTCTAGCATATTAGCTTGATTTCTACCATTCACCTCCATCTTTAATTCATACGATTCATGTCCATCTAACCGTCCAGGTTTCTTCTCTATTTTTTTTAAATGATTACTTTTCATCTTTTTCAATTCATCTTTATGTATTAGTATTTTGGTAATGATTAAATTTTAACTAAATTTTTTAATAAAAAATTCATATTTAGTATTTTAAATATCAGTTTTTATCATTAGAAACATGTTCCTTTTATTATGGAAGACTACTACTTTATTGTTTTTACATTTACTTATTAATTTTTTTTATTCTATTTTTTGAAGCAAGTGAATTAAAGTAGTAAGTTTAATTATAATTGGAGGCAATGAAGGGGAGATCAGTTGAAATTTTGGAAACATATATGACTTTCACATTTTTTATTGATCTAGATGATCCGATCTCAAATTTTATTTTCAGGCCAATTTCAATGTTAAGTGTAAAGCAAATTACAAGAAGTGGGGGGTGGAATCAACAAAAACCAAGCCTTCATGGGAACAAAATCCCAAGCCAAAAAAAGGTAAAGCAAAGGTTTCTTTAGAAATAATCTACCCAAAGGATTACTTGAGTGTAATTTATTTACATTTTATTTTATGTTCCGTGTTATTTAGAGAGACTAAAAGTGTAGGGTGCAACTTTGTCTAAGCAATGTTATTTTATTTTTTTATATGATCACAACTACCTAATGGTGGGTCACTGTCCTCTAAATTATTCATAATATTTTTTACAACATACTCCTCTGTATGTGTTTCTGCTAATGTAGTTTTAATAAGCATTTCATGCATATTTTCTGCTTTGAGTTATTGCTTAGGAAGCTGCAAGCATTTCATCCTATTATTTACTCTTTCATGCTATAAGTTACAAAGTATAATATCAACAATCACTATGTTTTTAAATAGCTTAATCTCTAGAGTGTGTGGTACAAATGTAGTATACTTCCTATAGGATTTTCTTTCAGTGGTTTGGGTTGTTATATATTATAATAATTATTGTTTCCAAGTTGCATTGTTCTATTTTCGCTCTCTTACTAATCTCTAAAATATCTTTGATTATTAAATTCTTCCATCTCCACTGTTGGCATGCACAATTGTTTGTAGCGTCATTCCATGAATAAGCATGGCAAAATTTGAATCCCTAGCATCTGGAACAAGCCTTGCCCAACAAGAAGTTTATCCTACAAGATCTTCTATGTCATCAATGGTGAGGAAAACACCTTCTGTCAGTTTAGTCCCACTTATTATATGTCTTACATGTGTTGCTCTTGCCTCATTACTCTTATATTCATTAAAATCCTTTTTTCTAAAATACTTATTCAATATATTGATATTTCAGTGTTGCACCATTATCTTTAAGGATTTGGAAGCCTAGAGATACCTTGATCTGAAGGTTGAATTTAAGGTGAGAGTTAGTTTCTCTTCCTCAAAGATGGGTTGATGAATGTGTTTTTCTATAATTTCTCTATAGTTCCTTCATAGCCTTTTCCTAACGAAGAAATTGTCTTGAATCATTCATTATACAGACCTCATACAATAATTTATTATGTAGAATTGTTGTTTATAAAAATATTGATAAAGGTTTATGATTATCAAAATGAAAATATAGGTTACTAAACATCAATCGAACCCCGACTAAATTGTGTACACATCACCTATGTTCTCTTAAAATATAAATTAAAATTTAAAACCTATACATGAGCACAAGATTAGGAAACTAATGAAATTGAAAGAAAAACGAGATGCTCACTTTCAGTGAAGGATTGCAGTTATAGTTTAACCGGTCTCTTCACCATTTCACAACCAAAACTACATCCTTAATCACAAGAAGACTGCTGCAATTTTTAGTATGACAGTTAAGAATGCAGATTACATGGAATTCCCTAAGATTTTGGAGGCGATGAAGGTGAGATCAGTTGAAAACTAACACATATGAGTCAT